ATAGACTAATCTCAGGATAACATTCACATAAATGTATAAACTATAGTATTTTTATTTCCCCTCATTTATTATTCAGAGCTTTCCTTTGCCTTAAGAGGAAGTTTAGGGTGACCAGATCAGCAAGTGTAAAAAATCGGGGTGGGAGTGGGGGGGTAATAGGAGCCTATTTAAGAAAAAGCCCCCAAAATTGGGACTGTCCCTATAAAATCGGGCCATCTGGTCACCCTAGGGAAGTTAGGAGTGTTTTATAGTCTTAAATCTATGGTGACTATCAGAACTGAGCTGCAGTCGGAAAGACTGTATTGATTGATGATCTTACTCTTTCGTCTGCAGATTTGGGAGGATGGATCCTATGAAAAAGGAGATCTGGTTATTTCTAGACCACTGCTGTGAACAAGCAGCCACTAGAGAACTGAGATTTAGAAAGTCAGGAATGAACAGTGTTATTTTTAGGTGTCTGCTCCATTTCTCCCGTTCTCACCCTGCATACCCTGTGGAGCAAGCACATTTTAAGAAGCACTATCATTTTTCACTACAGGAGAGCAAAGACTTGTCACAAGAATACTAGTCCCTCAGAATGACTCTAGCCAAGAAGTTTAAAGCTCTCTTATTGGGGGAACATTTCAGTTACATACAAGAAAGTTTAGAAATAAATAATGAAAAATTAGAATGAAGATTTTACAATATAAAACAAAACAAGTTATAAATAATGGAGTGATACAGTCGCAGATGGATCCAACGCAGAAAAATTACACCCCTATATATTTTAATAAGATTATTTTAGAAAAGATTTCAATCTACTCCAACTCCTCTCTCCCCCTCTTCCCTTTACTCATCCCCCTCCCCCTCCGCCGTGAAATCTTAGCAACTGGGGCAGTGGCTACCAGATGCAGTCACACCTGCCCCAGGCCCAGGGGAATTTAACATCTAACCAAAATCCAACCTGGAAACCTCTGCTTTGGGGGGCGAGACTTCTCCTATGGCGGCGGCGCAGCAGGGTCCTGCCCTGAAGCTGCCAGTCCGGCCGGCTCTCTGACATACCCGCAGGAGCAGAGCTGGCAGATGCACTTCTTGGCGGGCAGGGTCTTGGGCGGAGTCACGGGAGGAGACATCCCGGCGATGGGCCGGAGCTAGAGCCGCTGTCTCTCCCCGCAGCGGAAAGCTCTGGGACCGAGAGCCGCTCCGGTGGCAGCCCCTCCAAGGGTTTGGTTCGGAGAAAGTTCCCCTAAGCGCCAGGGGCAGGGCTAGAAGCAGGCTTCTCTGCAGCAGGTGAGAACGGCGCTGCGTGAACTACATAGCACAGCTGGTCCGCTTCCCTGCGGCCACCTCTGCTCTCGAGCCTCTCCTCAATCTCGCTTCTCCTCCAGCCCTCAACAGCACTGCGGGGTCCAGGGGATTACAACCTCCCGGTCCCCCAGGGAGCCTTTGTGAGGTCACCAGGGAAAGCCCTAGCGCTCAGCTCTGCTGCCAGCGTAGTCCCTACACTGCAGGCAATTAATGACTCCCCTCCCCCTGGGCTGGGCACAAGGAGGCTGGATTGGCACCTGGATAGAACACTTGGGTCTCGTCTACACTACTTAAAAATGTTATGGGGGAGAGAGACGCACACTTGTATAGACTGGCCACTAATGGTTTAAGGACCAGTTCTTCTAGACAGTGACGAGGTAGTCACATCTAGGCACTAGCCACCTGCGCTCGCCCCAGCTGGTGGAGCAGGACTGCTGGGTAAGAAAGAATGGAATTTCCTCCTCCAGAGTGGGGAAGTTGAAGTGCAAAGTCTAGGGTAGGCTAAATCACACCTGGAGTTGCAGCTAGCGAGAGATGTTAAGAGTAACAAGAAGGGTTTCTTCAGGTATGTTGGCAACAAGAAGAAAGCCAAGGAAAGTGTGGGCCCCTTACTGAATGAAGGAGGCAACCTAGTGACAGAGGATGTGGAAAAAGCTAATGTACTCAATGCTTTTATTGCCTCTGTCTTCACAAACAAGGTCAGCTCCCAGACTACTGCACTGGGCAGCACAGAATGGGGAGGAGGTGGCCAGCCCTCTGTGGAGAAAGAAGTGGTTCGGGACTATTTAGAAAAGCTGGACGTGCACAAGTCCATGGGGCCGGATGCGTTGCATCCGAGAGTGCTAAAGGAATTGGCGGATGTGATTGCAGAGCCATTGGCCATGATCTTTGAAAACTCATGGTGATTGGGGGAAGTCCCGGAAAACTGGAAAAAGGCTAATGTAGTGCCAATCTTTAAAAAAGGGAAGGAGGAGGATCCTGGGAACTACAGGCCAGTCAGCCTCACCTCAGTCTCTGGAAAAATCATAGAGCAGGTCCTCAAGGAATCAATTCTGAAGCACTTAGAGGAGAGGAAAGTGATCAGGAACAGTCAGCATGGATTCACCAAGGGCAAGTCATGCCTGACTAATTTAATTGCCTTCTATGGTGAGATAACTGGTTCTGTGGATGAAGGGAAAGCAGTGGACGTGTTATTCCTTGACTTTAGCAAAGCTTTTGACACGGTCTCCCACAGTATTCCTGTCAGCAAGTTAAAGAAGTATGGGCTGGGGGTGGACGCACTACAAGGTGGGTAGAAAGTTGGCTAGATTGTTGGGCTCAATGGGTAGTGATCAATGGCTCCATGTCTAGTTGGCAGCCGGTATCTAGCGGAGCGCCCCAAAGGTCGGTCCCGGGCCCGGTTTTGTTCAATATCTTCATTAATGATCTGGAGGATGGTGTGGATTGCACCCTCAGCAAGTTTGCGGATGCCACTAAACTGGGAGGAGTGGTAGATACGCTGGAGGGCAGGGATAGGATACAGAGAGACCTAGACAAATTACAGGACTGGGCCAAAAGATGAGGTTCAACAAGGACAAGTGCAGAGTCCTGCACTTAGGACGGAAGAATCCCATGCACCGCTACAGACTAGGGACCGAATGGCTCGGCAGCAGTTCTGCAGAAAAGGACCTCGGGGTGACAGTAGACGAGAAGCAGAATATGAGTCAACAGTGTGCCCTTGTTGCCAAGAAGACCAATGGTATTTTGGGATGTATAAGTAGGGGCATTGCCAACAGATCGAGGGATCAGATCGTTCCCCTCTATTCGTCATTGGTGAGGCCCCATCTGGAGTACTGTGTCCAGTTTGGAGCTCCACACTACAAGAAGAATGTGGAAAAATTGGAAAACGTCCAGCAGAGGGCAACAAAAATGATTAGGGGACTGGAACACATAACTTATGAGGAGAGGCTGAGGGAACTGGGATTGTTTAGTCTGCGGAAGAGAAGAATGAGGGGGGATTTGATAGCTGCTTTCAACTACCTGAAAGGGGTTCTGAAGAGGATAGATCTAGACTGTTCTCAGTAGTAGCAGATGACAGAACAAGGAGTAATGGTCTCAAGTTGCAGGGGGGAGGTTGAGGTTGAATATTAGGAAAAACTTTTTCACTAGGAGGGTGGTGAAACACTGGAATGTGTTACCTAGGGAGGTGGTGGAATCTCCTTCCTTAGAAGTTTTTAAGGTCAGGCTTGATAAAGCCCTGGGTGGGATGATTTAGTTGAGGATTGGTCCTGCTTTGAGCAGGGGGTTGGACTAGATGACCTCCTGAGGTCCCTTCCAACCCTGATATTCTATGATTCAGGTTAGTAAGGCAACTACCATCTTTTCATATGCTGTGTATTTATACCCTACTGCATTTTCCACTCTATGCATCTAACGAAGTGGGGTTTAGCCCACAAAAGCTTATGCCTAAATACATTTGTTAGTCTCTAAGGTGCCACAAGGACTCCTTGTTGTTTTTGCTGATACAGACTAACACAGCTACCACTCTGTAACCTGTCATGCAGGATATAGCAGTAATTCTTAAACTACAGCCACCCTACCTCACCAGGAAGAGGAGATAGAGTGGAAAGTTAGGCAGCGTACATTTCTTGTTTTAAGAAGTCATCTAACTACAGAAGAGTTAGAAAACACGGGGATACAACATTCTTCTGTCCTGAATTGTTGGTGAAGGTATTAGGTACTCAGTAGACATGTTTCTTCCCAAAGCGATGGATACCTGGCAGTAGTGTGTGCACTACACACAGCAACTGAAGTACGCAAGAGCTCATTTGATGTGGAAGAATGCAAAAGGTACATAAAAGTAAAGTCACTTATAACCACTTCTCATAAAATCAAATATTGTGTAAAAGAGTTATGCATTTATAACCTAAAGCATAGGATTAAATAAAAAGGCATCAATAAAATATGAACTGACATCTACAGCTGATTATTTCATTGTGGTGGGAATGGAAAGGTTCCCCCACCAGCAAGGACATTCCATAGCTTTGTCTTACAAATAAGTCACTGCAACCTTAATATTACTGCCATATTGTGACTGTGGCAGTAGCCTGCAGTACACACACACTATAGTATACATAGCAAAATGCATTTGCGCATAATGTAGTTTAACAATAATGAACCTTTTCTATATTTAAATGTATTAAATATGTAACTTAAACAGTAAATGCACTGGATCAACTATCAATGTAGTACCAGTGCTGGCAATAGGAAATTTGTGTTTGTCAATAAGTTAAGCAGGTATGTTTGAATTCTCCCTTCTCTGTTCAAATTCTTATCCTGCAATCCACCTGCTGCTGATGGCACTCTGAACAGTCCTGACAGCAGCACATGCTGCTCAACTGTTGCAGGGCACAGCTTCTGGCCTCCACCTAGGCTATGTTCTTTTTTAATCTTGATTTGTCACACTAGTTTAATGTAAAGGTAACATCGCTTTGACTATCGAACAACACAGTTACTCTGCTTCCATTAATGATGATGCTGCCAATATAGCAAACATCTAGAGTCTGGACCACACAGTTTATAGGATGAACGGGTTATGCAGTTTTAAAGGTACTTCATATCATATTTCAGATTCTTAGATTAAAGCAACTTTAGTATGGCACCGTTCAGCTTTTTCTTCCATATCCTCACCTTGTAGCCCATCAGTATATCACAAAGCACCAGTACATTGAATGTGACAGTTACACGTTTAATAGCGAACAGTGAGCTAGATTCATGCATCAACAGTGGCAGCTAAATGTGGATTACAGAATGAGTGACTGATTGTTTAGATCAATGCATACTGATTTGAAAATTGAGGATACACAAGCCCACAATGTACTTTTTTTTCCAGAGTAACAGCTTCAGTTAGTGAAAGTAGTCTTGCTCTGCCTTCCAAATTCAGACTTAGCAGTCATCAGAATTCACTGTGTAAAGTGGGACTAATGAGTTAATGTGGTAGGAGAAAGTTGATGGCAAAACGATGGAAATATACTTTTCTGAGATTACATTTTACTTAGCAATTTAGTAGGTGATGGTCATTTGCTAATTCACCTGCCATCACAAAGGCATAATGCAAAATTCACATGGGGGACCCAAGAGCTCAAAGACTTGTATAAAGGGCTTAATTTTTTCACTCTTGCATAGTCTGTTGAAGAGAACTCCATCTTTCCTAGTCCATGGAATGCAGATTTTGAAAAAACAAAACAAGTATGAAGAAATACTTGTGTAAGCATTTTTATAGCAATGGAGAATTATAAGAAGGGAGGCAGCCACACTGTCTGTTCTTAGGCAGGCTGATGGAAAAAACCATGATTAAACAATCCAACCCTTCTAACATGTTTAGGAATTAAAACTTTATATCCAATTGTTTCTCCTGAAGACAAAAAAGATTATCTAGATCTTACTGGGTTTGCTCCAACAGCACCTGCTTGTTTTCTACAAGAATACCTTATCCAGCAAATCCTGGTCATTTGGTGTCAATTATTTTGACCATTTAAAATGGAAATTCATTTAAACATATCATTTTGTATACTATGAGCACAGTAGCTGGTGTTTAAGAATGGTAAAGACAACTCTACAAAGTCCTCAGCTGAATGCCAGACTGGAGCTCAGTTTATGATTTCTAGAGTAAATATGCTGTTAATTCTCTTTATTTCATAGTAATGCAGAGTCACTTTAGATATCTAGTCCCATTTCATTGCCTAGAACACAAGTAGACAAATCTTAGACTGAGGTTGCAGGATGAAGTTTATAAAATTAAATATTTCTGTAACAAGACTGAAAACGGTTTCATTTTAATTAACTATTTAAAAAAAGTTTAAATAAACACAAGACAAAGTCAAACATGAAATCTAAAGTTAGACAAAAAAATCCTAAATTACTTTAACCCACAAGTGGATTTCTAATTGGTCTTGTTAGTGGGCTCAGTTACAGTGTTTGTGAGCACTCCTTTGTCCTACTCTTCATATGCCTTTCTTCCACTTGACTCCACTCTCCCTAAATCTTTCCACACTTTGGGGACATGACTGTTCAAGTAGAACTAAAGGCAGAGTTTTAAATCAAGGGGTTTGTTTATGGGAGACCACAGACATCAGTGCTCCATCTTACCAAATTCATTCTCTTCCCTTGCAAGTCAATAAATTAGGCTAAATCATACCCACACCTTGATCTGAATATGCAGAAGTTTTCTGTGGCTTACAATGGACAGGGTAGGATGGATAAAAATTTATCCCCCTTCAGTCCAACCTGGAAAGGTCTCCAGGCCTTTTCTGAATAGCCCCATCATTTCTCCTGACAAACAATGCTATAACCAAGGGTACCACCAGTGGAATCATGCTGCTGTGGAGTTAGAGTACCAGAGCTGGTGCCCCAACAAGGGCCTCCATAAAATAAACCTGACAAGTCATATTGGGAGGCAAACGTCATTCCCAAACAGAGAATTGCGTAGGAGGCGGCCTTTAAAAGAATCCATCCTCTTTCTTCTACAAAGTCCCTTCACAATTTGTGTGGTAATTAAAGTTCCAATTTTGCTAGACTTCAAAAATTAAAGGATGATATCCTTCATACCTTATAATGCACATGGTTAAATGTCATTTTTCAACAGGGTCCTTGACTAGTTTTTTTATTTTTATTTAATACTTCAGATTAAAATGTGAACTGTTTTAGGAAGTCGCGTCAGCCTCAGGCGTTTCAGGGTGCATTACTTAACCACACAATCCAACAAATGTTTGATTCCACACATCCGACTACTAGTCTTCTCATATCAATGGTCAAAAATCTCCAAGTCCCTCTGACCAATAACCAAAGAAAGAACTGAGCCTTAATGGACACTGTACACTAAGGAAATTTCTTCCCAGGTTAGTTAAAATAAGCATTTAAATGTACGTATTGGCAGAATTTCAGTCTGAAATGGGATTGAAAAATGTAAACAACAAATAGCATTTTAATTATGAGTCTAATTGTTTAGTACACAAGCATTACACATCCAAGTGCATCATAATTCTATTAAGTGTGAAACTGCTTCATCTTTACGTGTCTTTATATCTGATGAGGATTCTTTTGCATCCAGCTTCTCCTTCAAATTCTCTTCTTCTAGAAAAAGAATGTATTGTTATATAAATGTATAGTATTAAAAAAATCTGACATACCATACTCTTAGGAAAAAGAGACTAGTGTTTGGGGACACTTCCTACAGAGGCAATTGTTCCAAATCAGGGAAAGGAAAAATTCCCATATCTGCACAACCAAAGAAGTTGCAGCGAATAACTAGAGAGGATTCTGGTGTGCACCAGCATTGGTAGTACAGCCTGTATGCAACCAATTTAAAGTGTTACATACATTAAGTAGCAATAAAAATGTAACAGCACCAGTTATGTAGCAATATATATTAACGACCCGCTACCCGCTACCTGCTACCGAGGGAGAAAAGGCTTATCAAATGTGGACTACAGGGATGATGATCTTTAAGTCACTTCCAATAAATCAGAAGGTTACTGAATGTAGATTCCTCAGAGCTCCCAGCAAGCAGGGCCAAGGGAGAACTAGTTTAAGCATCTGCTTGATTTCCTTCTATGGGCCTGCATGTATTTCTAATAAGCAATCTGGTCCCAAATCATTTAGGACTTTTAGCTTTCAGGTGTCATCTAAGCTGTTTATAAGTTAAACGACAGGAAGTACAATTTATGGAGGACCACTTAACCAAGCAGTTACATTCATTACTATCTTCAGTTTATTGATAGTTGCAGGATGCAGCCCCATAGAGTGCATTGCAGTCTCAGTCTGTCATTGTCCCTTTAAGATAAGCCCGTTAAATTCAACTTATCAACTTTTCCATTTGACATTTAAGTGAAAATGTCCTGGATACTTACTGTGGACTGACAGTTGAGTAAAATCCACATTAAATGCTAGTGCACTTACAAGGCTAATTCCTGTTGTACTAATTACTCAAGTATACTGAATTATGCTTACAGGCGTACCAGTAAGTGCCTAGTGCCACTGTATTTCTGTTTCTGGTGTGGGAAGCTATACTGTGTTTCATTAGCGTAAGTATTACCTAGATCTCTCCCACATTTTGGTGTCTATAGTTTGGCAAAGACTCCCATAGTTCCATATCTGGAAAAAGTAATTTGCAAGATATGGACTTTATCAATTTAAATATCCACCTCTGGGGAGAAGTATCATTTTTCAAGGAAGAAAAATTATGCATATGTGAATCTTTGGAAACTAGTAGATTGGAGGATGACTGTCTTGAATATACACTTTTTAAAAAGTTTAAAAGGCTCCCTCTGCTCCACTGCTGAAAAGACTAAGACATCAGAAAGTGCACTCAACCCAAAGATCAGATCTGCATCTTTCTCCCTCCTTCCATGATCATATATATATATATATGCATCTACATTGCTCCTTCCAGGGAGAAAGACAGTAGCTGTAATTGTGGCAACAATCCACTACCTTGGTGATTCCCTTCTTCCCCCTAACTCCTAAAGCAGAAGCCAAGTGCTCAGATTACGTCCAGGAAACCCAGAAGTGAAGAGTTCTACATGTACAGATAGTGGCACAATCCTGTCAAAAGCACAAACACAAGCTTACCCTTCAAGTTATGCAGGAAGTCTCTAGGTTTCTTTTGTGCTTGAACTGGAGAAAATGCAATCAGTGGAGAAAGAGTATGCCTTCTTTCAAAAAGAGACATGCGTGAAGGTGTCTTGATATACTCTGCATCCAATGCATAGAGTTTTCCTACAGGACTAAATACTTCTTTTGTTTCTGTGCATCCTGGAGTAAGGTTTTTCTCAGATCCACATCTCAGAAATTGTTTTCTAGAAGGTGACTGAAATGAATCTGCCTCATTTCCAAAAACTGTCTTTTTCAGTGCTTCATACCTGTTGCGAATAGATTGTAAATCCAGTTTGCATTCTTGAGCAGCCCAATCATTTTTCACTATGTTTGCTAAGGACTTGCTATCCCTTGAATTACCTTCGACTTCATCATCAGTCTCTAAACTTTTAGAGCTATTAAGACTTATGTTGCCAAGTTCCTCTGGAAGAGTCTCATGTAGTATTCCAAACTGGATAACTTCATGACTGTCAGAACTAGTACCACTTACCATTTGAGAAGCATCCCACGACAGAGTTGTATGCATTGAAGAATTCTGACAAAGATAAGGTGATAGAGCATCTGTTTTAATATATTCCTCTGCACTATTATCCAGAGGATTCATGCTCTTATCTACAGCTGGAAAGACAGATTCTTCTGGATCTTCTGAGAGACTTTTACTTGAAACAGTATGTTTTGATCCAAGCTCCCAAGATCTTTCGTTATCTGGCATTCTTTTAGCTGGTATCTGTGTTGGCGATTCACTGATGTGGCTAACCGCCAACTGCTTTTTAGGTGCAGGTGTCATCCAACTTAATGAAGATTTCCCTTCTAATAAGTTAGAAACATTAAGGTCAGACATGTGAGATGAAGACATAAAGCAGGCCATACTAGTATCTATTCGGCTACAAATTGCAGACTCTAGATCCAATGGAGCTTCTTTTGTCACCATTTTAGTCTGAACCAACTCTGTATCTGAAGGATTTTCAGCTTGAATAGCTTTTCTCCATGAGCTTCTAATTTCAGTAACTAAGATTGAAACAAATAAAGGACATATTTAATTGCAATTACATACTGTTTACCCACCTATTTTTCTACTTTCATAGAAGTGTAAACATGCTACTTTTGAAATGATGGATGTTTCCCCACCCATGCCCCCAATGCCAACGGCACAGAGGTGATGGCATAGGAGTTCTATACCAGTCTTTCTCAACCTTTTATATACCAGAGACCACTTGTTGCCTTCCTAAACTGTGTCAGGGAGATCTTTGGGTCTGGTACGAGTCTGTGCTCCAGTCATTGAGAAACACTGCTCTCTCTCGCCTTAGTCATACTATGTTTGTTTTGTTACAGGTACTATGTTGTGTTACCTATAATAAGTATGTCATCATGACGACGACTGTTAAGAGTTAAAGCCATTCTGATTGAGCAGTGGGGTTTTTTTTGGGGGGGGGGGAGGGGTGTCCTTTAATATGGCAGCATCTCTATTCAACAGAAATTCACTGAAGTTCAACTACTCTCCATTATGAGAACAGAACTTACTCAGATTTTCTGGAGTTCGTGGGATCTGTTTCCTTGTTAAGAAAGGGTTAGAAGCCAATGAGCCAATTAGGTCATCTAATTCCATTCCTTTTCCACCACCGCCCTGAGTCGATTCTGATACCACTACATCTGCAACCTGTAGGAGAAAGTTTAGAGAATGGAAACTCTTGAGGAAGATTATAAAACTTTTGTTCCTGCCAATAATAGCACTGAATGAATCCCATTCTCTCCACCCACTCCAGAGCATTAGGAGTTCCACAGCCCTTGCTTAAATGTGTGTGTACAATTATGGAAAATGCTCCTTTTAAAGTAAGTAAGTGTGAAAAAGAACAGAAAGCCTCCTGGTCAGAATATGAAACTGGAAGTCAAATTCTGCATTCTGTTCTCTAATTTATCACTGACTTGTTTCAGCCCATGCTTTAGTTCATCTTTCTTTAAAATGGAGACAAGATTCCCTGAGAGACGAGGAAGTGAGATTAACTAACAACCAGGAATTGAGAGTCCTGGATGAAAAGCATTTAAGAGAAGTATTAAGCTTTTACTTCGAGAGTTCCAATCTGAACAATTATGGGAAAATCATGTCACTTGGGATGTCAATATTCTATAAATGAACAAATATTCTTGAGTGCAGCTGACAATTAACTACACCATTTCAGGGATGAAGACACTTAGTCTTCTATCTCACTATATAGCACAACTTTCAGGTTCTTGTAACAAAAATTCCCTTTGAAGGACTTAAAGTGCCTGCACACACCTGCCATGTCCAAATGTTTGTCGAACAATATTCAGATGCTATAGTTAAATGCCAAAATATGTAATAGTTATAGACCTAAGAGCAGTTTTGTAAGCTGCAGAAAGCTTTCAGTAAGTGAAACAAAGGAAAAGCATCAACTCTGTCAAGCCTAGAAACAAAATACATGAATGGTATAAGCAGCTCTATGTCACCAGGGTATGCTTAGTCACGTAGTTCTCCCAGGGAAGACTAACGGCGGCTGCTTAATGAGAACAAGTAATCTTTGATTAACACCACAGTTTAGATGGTACCCTTTCATGAGTCTTACACTGGCTCTGATAGTTTGTTGCCTTAGTAGCTTTCAGTCCCTTCTATATTTGTGTGATATACAAAAGGAATTCAAACTTTCTACCTTCCCTCTTCTGGGCTATTAGTTTGTTCCATCAACGGCAGCTACATATACTTGACTATTATTCTATTTACTGCACAATGTCAGCAGTAGATGCAACAGAGGGACAGGCTTAGGCCCTTTCCCGTGGAAGTAGGCCTATTTGCAGAAATCCAATACAAATACAGAAATGAGGCGCCTTAGAAATATCCAAGCACTGTGAATACTCTCCAGTAATATTATGGGGTTTACAGATTCCTGCACAGCAGCATTACTTTTCTCCTGGTAAATCAGAAAGGCCACCACCCACTAGGATATTCCAATTAAGAGTATTCTATTGTACTTGAGCAATGTGTATTTGAGCAATGTGTACTTTTAAATTATAGCCTTCATCCTTTTCTTCTTACATAAGTCAAAAATGAAGCTTAGACAGCTACAATTAAATAAGAACAGTTATAAACAATTGAGTACCAAGATCAAATTATCTTTAGAAGATCAGGATTAGTGAATGAAGTGTAATTAAGAAGGGAAGCTTCTCCTAACCTCTTCTGCCAGTTCCTCTTGTGCTTTCTTAACAGGATCTTCTCTTTTAACTGCACTTGGTGATTGGAGTACATGAGTGTCTTCGTTCTTCCAAGCTTCTATTGGTCTAGGTTTGTGAACTGCATATTTTAAGATTTTTTGAGAAACCGACCGTTCTTTCCTTTTGGGAGTTGTAGTATGTACATCCTAAAGGAACATAAAGAAGTTTTTAAGTCTTATATTGAAAAATGCACAATCTGAAGGAACTACCAAACTCAACTGCACAGCACCTGTAGTGTCAGCGTTCGTTTAATCAAATAGTAAATCAAACACTGACAAACACTCATTCCAGTCAGATTTTAAGTTGACACAAAGCATACCTACGTAGGTGAAGTGTTGCATATAGAGAACAGTAAGCCCTTGGGTTTGCCCTTTCTGTGTCTAGGGCAGCCAAGATGCAGCAAAGGTGCTTTTTAGACAATACTTGCATTCCTCAACCTGGGACCACCATGCAAACCCTGAAGCATAATTTAGGATTGGCCCTGATGCTACTGAAGTTGAGCTGCCACTTCACAGCCCCCATAAGAAGCTGTTCCAATAACCAGATATTACTGGTGTAGTACAGACACTTCCTAAGCTGGGAGCCGGGTGTGGAAACTTATCACAGGTGCTATGCAGCCTGATGATTTTCCCAATGCCTGGGGAATCCTCTGCTAGGTGTCGATGGTAACATCATAACCATTTTCAATCTACCAGCAGGACTCAGGAAAGTATGCCAAGTTTACCTTGCAATCTCTTAATGCAGACAGAATACAAACGTCTCAAGTGTTTATCTTTTTCCCCCAAAGACAATTTAAGCTATTAAAAACTGACCTTTTCAAGTACCATACTGCTGGGTTCAGCTGTGAGAAAGCTCCGTGTAGCTGACTGCAAGTGTGAGAGCATCCTAGAAAAAGACAACATTCCAGTTATTGAAATTAAACCAAACATGCTGCATATAAGTCTTATGAAGCTCAGTATACTGTCTGCCCCGTACCTGTCCGTTATGATTTCCCTCAATTCATCCCGGTCATCAGAAGGCAGTTTTACTATAGGGAGGACTTGTGACAATTAGAGCGGATTTTTAGCCCTATTTGTGTATCAGTCTCCCAAGCAGTAATAAATATGAAACCCCCACACATACTTCTATAGTGGAACTTTATATAAAGAGATGTGTATTATTCATATTGGGAATTTGAGATCAACTGGAGTTCTAAAGCAAACTGTTGAAGGATAAATGCATCATTTTAAGTATCAATGTATTTCAGTTCCCTTGTCACACCACATGAAAGTATGTATTCTTTAAGTGTTAAGTAACCTGCCTGTAAGCCTTTTGGTGCTTGTGGATTTGAATTGTGTTTTAGGTGTTTTATGAAGTCAGATAGTTGGCTACTAGTACAAGTTTAAGTCAGTTCTGATGGGCAAAGAAAAGCAGAAGAAAGCTAAACTAAATATCATCACTACATCTAAGTAATTTTACCTATTTCTCTTTTAAAAACTATGCTATTAAAATTCAGTTTACTCACTAGGAAGCAAGTAATCTAATTATGTATAGTAGTATTCCGACCTGTTTTACCACTTTTATAACATAGTTGTCTGTCCATGTTACACATTTACTTTACTGGAATTTTCAGAAAGTTATATAAAGTCACTCAGTAAACACAAGTCTAGCGTTAACTGCTTTGATAATCTGAAGAGAACTCAGATGCAGATATGAACTGATTTCTAGGAATGAGATAACTAGTCAAAATTTGTTGAAATTTTTACTCCCTTTATTTTTTCCAAACAACAGCTTTCAGGTGTTTGTAGGAGTCTTTATGTGGGTGTATGAAAAATACAACCTTTTAAAATGCCATAGAGGACCTCCTAGGGTAAACAGCTGCCATGTAACTCAGGACACCCAAAATAGGGATAGTTATATAGTTTCACCCTTTGTAGGGATTATGGAAAGGCTTCATAAAAGAAAGTGTTCAGAGGAAGAATCTTAATGAGGAAAGTAACAGTCTGCACCGGTTGACCTCTTTTACTCATGCATTGAATGGTCCAAGATAGTTTTTTAATCATACCTTACTGTAGATGTGTCCATGATACTTTCCAATGCTGCATCCTCTCTCTTATCGTCATTTGCTTGACAATCCCTTTTTGGCGTATCTAGAATAGGAAATGGAAGGGATTTGTTACCACTTTTTGCCTCGTCTATTTTCTTTGATTATGAAGGACCAGAGGTGACACACAACAATTTTAGATCTAGGAGTGCTATAAGCAGACTAGTTCAAAAGGCTATTCAAAATGTCAATTTAACAAAGCCCTTATGTACTCTACAGTGATTTGCCAATACCAGAAGATGAGTTATAGAACGAAGCTGGTGGGCAGAAAAGTGTGCAGATATCAAATAGCAAACACATACACAGTTTAGTACAAGCGCTCTTCAATTAACAGAAATTCAGTATTTTGATTCATTACAGGCATAAAAATTCAACCCACATGATAGGGTTTTCTGAATTAAGTCATCAAAGATATTGCCACTTCAACCACAGGAACCTCTCATTATATCACTATATTTACAATGCCAATACATTGTAAATTAAGCTCTAGGAGTTAGCTACGGTTAATATGCAGGCAGCTCTATGTAGAAGTGGATGTTAGTGAACACAATTTTAACCAACTTAAAAACACACTGTCCTAAAGCAGACACATAGATCACAAAGGCAGAGTAATAACCAGGATGGTTCTCTAGAATTATTAAAAACTGCAAATTAAAAAAACCTCCAGCCAGGAATCTGTATGCAAGAAAGCCAAGGAAAACACACATGCTATGGAAGTGTTACCAGAATTCTGAGACTTCCTTGGGTTTTTGTAGTATGTTACCTATCCAGCCGAAACATGCATGTTTCTACTAGAAACAGGTTTAAGTTATTGCAGTTAGAAATCTAATAAGGATTTTACTTTTTTTTAAATGAATGTTGACTAAGTGGGGGAGAAACAAGGCTCATAACAATTGCAAGACACAATATATTTTAAAACGCTCATCATGTATTAGTGAGATGAAAGTGGCACTAAAATCCATGTTTTAGCAGTTTTCCTCTGATAAGAGCTGAGTTCTCAGCCCAAGTTTCCTTATTCCTCCATGAACAAGGAGCAGTACTGAAAGGCTCCAAAGAAACAGTGCTCAGCACTCATCTGTCAGAAAGGCAACTGCCATGACAAGAAGCTATTGAGGACTGGAGTATCAAAGGCAAGCAGAGAATCCTTTCAAGACAAAGAACACCTTAGGGATGACCAAAAACATTATCCAATTTACTCACCTGGAATTGATGCTGGATATTTACAGAAGACACTGCTTTTATAAGCCTCTTCTGTTGCAGGATCAAAAGAAAGAGGAGACATAGCTGGTAACAAATCAAGTACCTTTTCAAAATAAAAATAAATTATTCAACAATTATTTTTGTGAAAAACTCCAGATCAGTAGTATTTAACACTACTAAAAGTGATTCAGTATTTTTTTAAAACTAAAGGCCAGAGGCAGCGAGATCACAAGCAAATGTTTAGCAGATGTTATAAAACCGTTATCCTTCGTTCACTGGAAATAGACTAAAAACTTACCTGGTCAAATTTTATGAAGTAAATTTTATGCTCAAAGACAGACACCACTTGAAAATTAAGTGCTCTTTTAACTACAGAGAGTTACAGGAGGTAATTGCTATGCAAGTTTGCCCATTGATTTGCTGCTACGACTCACTCCTGACCTGAAGGGACCAACTTTGAATTACCTACAAGGATACCAACTTTGACTGGTTATCATAAAGGTCTCGTGTACTTTGAACTAAACTTACACCTACTCATCTTAAAAAGGCCAAGGAGACTAGAACATTTTTAATATCTGGTACACTGGAAGCATTAAAAGGATTCTACTGCAGTTATATATTTGTTAGGAAGTCTGCTTCAGCTCTCCCAACCCCAGAAAACAGCCATACTCTACTTCTCCAAAAAACTCATTACTTACTGGATTCTGATCTTTAATTAAACTAAAGGGAGACTGCCCAAGGAAGTTTTCCCACTTCATATCCCAATCTCTTTGTTTTTCAGCAATTGATTCCACTATCGACACGTGATCCTCTCGCTTCAGTTTGTGCCTGCAACATTTTAAAAACAAATGGACCCTAAGTATTTGTACTGGAAGTAAAATCATGTTACATAGAAAGCAGACTGATAGAGATCAGATGTTTTTCTGGGTAATGTTGCAATTGCTTGGGATGGACAACTTCGTGCTATCAAAGTGTATTTGGGTGTTGGTTTTGTTTATCTTGTAACAGTTGTCAGATAATGTAAATATATAGTCAATGAAATTTAACGAGACACAGGGTTCTAGAGTATCTTAAGTGTCCCATTGTTTCTTTTTTTACAAACCAGTTTTATATGCCAAATGCAAGCTTTGCAAAGAAAGCATAGATAACTGACTAAAAATACAAACGCTGACCAAAAACTGTCATTAGAGTCTTTAAAGAACACAATACCTAAAATAATTAAAGGGTGAATACAAGAGATTTAAAATCTTAATTTCAGTTTACTATGCTAAAATATAGCCAGTACAATAGACTTCTCACCGATCATTTAAGATCAAAGGAGTAAGAATCCTTCACTACCATCACTGAACTAAGATGCCCAGCTTCCGTTTTCACACAGCCAGGAGCACAACTGGCTTGCTCATAAAGAGAGCAGAGGGGAAAATGCTGAATTTTGCAGATGCCTCTGTAGATGTAAAACACCAAGTAACACCAAAACATTTGTCAGCCAAAATATCTATCAAGAGCAGAGCTGATGAAGTCAGCATATTCTCTCAGTAAAGCAAATAAGGCCAAAATATGAAGTGTTGTGTTATTTTGGAAGAGACATGCAGGAGACTACACCTTCCCTTGTGCAAGAAAATAAGCATAAAGAGCCTCAGAAAAAATTCTAACAGTTTACCTCATGAACTTCAGACCCAATAAAATTTTATTCTGAAATTTGGTCTTCCCTTCAATGTACTGAAGATCTAATTTTAGTGCCTCATGGTCAACTTGTTGACGTTCATGTCTTAAAATCTTCAGTGCTTCATTTAATAACTGAATGACTGTTAACAGATTGAGTTTTCCAGCTTCATATATATTTCCTATATGCAACTTCAAATATTGAAAAAAGAGAAAACCAATTAGTAAACAGTTTCATAGATACATCAGTTATTAGATCGCTACCTTTTCTCTGAGGAGGTATAGTAGAGGGCTACAAAACTCCTATGATTATGAATCTGTACTTTTTAAAAAAAATTGAGACACACACCTTGGTTGAGATCCAGAAAATTAAGGGTGCTTAGAAGGGGTTATATATTAACTTAATATTAATATGAAATTAAAGCATTTTAACAAACATCATTTGTAATCACCACTCAACAATTCTATGAACCTGAACATCACTGTACACAATGCATGAGTCTGACCAGTCTAGTTTTGTTGTCCAAGCAGAGTGAAATGCAAAATATAATCAGAAAAAAATTAAATTAGTTTTAAGTGTTCGTTTTAATATGGGATTAGCAATGCAGTTATTGATTTAATAGCTTTAGTGAGATTTACACTTGAAACAGGACTTCAAATAAAGAATACCTAACACCGTACTATAAGACATTTTACCTCAATACCTCCAAGTACATTTGAATGCAGAAGAAAATAAGCCCCCAAGCAATTGTTTCGTTACTTTTCCTTATTCCTCAATTTTGACAATGACCAACATCTCCCTCCCTAAACTTTTTTTTTTTTTTAATTTAAGGAAAGATCATGTTTTCCATATATGTCTTAGAAATTCCTGCTATGAGTTTTTCCAAAAGTAATCTAGGCCTTCCCTTCACCCAAACATGATATCATTACTGCAGTTTAAACATTTTTAAATGTGATAATTTAAGAGAATAGCTTGTGCATGTTTGTAGGGCAGGTTACAGTAAGGACATTAAATACAATCAGATCAGATTTATTCGTTCTCCCTTGCTACGTAAGAATACTTGGCATCTGATGCAACACTAATCAAGGCATGTTCCCAGGTCTATGAGCAGTATGCTGCATTACTCTGGGCTCATAACAGATGGCAAAACAGACATGTAGCTCCATTAAGTGAGAATAATTTTACTTGTCACTTTTGTAAGGCAACTAAGAGTTCTAGGAATAAAAAGCACAAATGTGAAGAGACAAGTATTAGGTACTTTAAAGACAATGACATACGTTGTACATTTGATTTTCAATTTTTTCAAGCAGCAGCCTTGGAACGTTGATAGTGACATTAGTTCCATCTAAAGCATACTGGTCCACGTGACCATCAACAACAGAATCTACAACTTCTTTTTCCTTTTCCAAGAATGTAAGGGTTTCCATTACAGATGCCCACCTGGAGCGAACCTTAATGGGGGAGGGAAAAAAAAAATGTCATGGCTCAAATGTTTGCCACACTATCCTGGTGACAAGTCCAGAAATGCATAAAGTTAAATGAGGAATGCTAGCATGTTTGAAGTAGAGAGCAGTATCTGGGATGGAATAATTGCTGGAGGAGTATGTTAACTAAAAAAATAAAGTCAGCCATCTGCCATCAAGAAGAAAATCCTCACCTTTTGAACTCTCTCTGCTTTGTTACTTTGCTTTTGGTTATTTTGCTCCATTCTAGTTAAAAAAATAGATAATTGAGTTAGCTATGATGAAACTACGATTAAAAGTTTCCAATAGTCTGCCTTTAGCTTCATAAATCTGAAGAACAGTTAGGAAGGAATACCTACTTTTGAAGCAGTTTGTGCAGCTCTGCACATTCAGATCTTGCATCTCTTATTTGTTTAGTCAATAATCTGCAAAAAACAAATGAGCAAAACAGAGCTACTATATCAAGCTGAAGGCTTGCATTTTTTTTTTCTGATATCCCAATTCTAATGGTCATTGACATGGAAAATATGAAGGGAAGATAGTAATTTACTTTTCAGGCTGTTTCAGCCCAAACCTGAATATCCAGATAGCTCTGAAGCCTTGCACAGTTCACTGTATAGGCTCACACAAGTTATTTTGTGCAAGATCTTTCCTAAAGATCTTACCAAAGACTTGGAAGTTTGACGGTGTTCCATTGCATTATACTGAAATAGTTTTCAATAACTACAAAAATGATATAGTTACCAGAAATGTTATTTCTCAGCTATCCAAGTACTTAAATTATGGCTGAGGGCCAATTTACATGTTAATACACAGTTTCTCAACTGTCTGGCATACAAATTCTGTGTTCCAATTGACTAGTACCCACTAGGAGCCAGAGCACTGGGATTTACATAACTGCAGTGGCTAAACTTTTCAAGACCCAAGAGCCTAGCAGCCTAATTTGATTTTTTGTTTTGCCACTTATATATAAATGGCCTGATTTTTAGAAGTACAACAGGATCTTCAAGTATTCTGAAGTTTCTTGATGCGAAAAATAAAGAAGTGGAAGCTTTGAAAAGATGTAACTCGGTGCAAGTCAGGATGTTAATTATTCCTCAGCAGGAAGAGACTGGATATGTCCCGGTTGAAGACCGAAGAGGATAATTTAGTAAGACAACTGAAGGATGATGCTGACAAAGTATATCCCACTCTGATAAACTCAGAGGCCAAACGGCTCTTATAACCACAAAATAATTACTATTTGTTTTTTAAACAGCAGTGGCTTTAAATACACTATAACTTAAAGTCTACTCTATACCCATCCCAGAGTGCTCCAGCCATTTTGCTGGATGAACAATCACATTTTAAATGTTTAAAATTTCTCTGTTGTTACGTGTAAAGGGCTACAAAAACAGCACACAGGGAACAACTGAAACGAATATGCACAAAGTGTTGTTAATTGCAAAAAGCTGGGAGTTCTTAACACTAGAAGGCAAGACATTTGCAAAAATGTTACTTTAAGCTGGAAAAGTCTTTATCTATATTGCCACTCATGTAATAAGTAATTTTTATGAAGACTTTCAATTAAAAATATCCTCCCCCACAAGAGTTACTTACTGTGCTTTTCTTTGATACTCTCGAATTACAAAATCTTCCCTTTGTATAGACCGTAAAAATCTAATACATGCCACCCTGTATCTTGCTGCTGCCTTATATGAGTCATGAGGTCTTGAATTCACGGCTTCCGGAAAATGTACATTGGTGTCTATATAAATCAGTTAAACATAAAGTTCAAAATGTGCCATCAAAATTATAGGTAACAAGACATGTTTCTAATTTCGGTGATTTAATTTAAATGCAAAATATAAAACAGAGGTTCCCATCTCTTTAGATGGGATGGATCAACATATGTGGCCCCTATTCACTTTGTCCTTTTATCCATTTCTCTTCGCCTTTTTCCCCTTCAGGGTACATTTATTCTTTCTGCACTTTTCCCTCACCATCTCACCAGAAGACTATATGCTCCTTGGAAAGGGGGAAAATTGCTCCTTGGGGACTCCATAGAGCTGACCCACATGTGCTGTGAAGAGTGACATCAGAACAGAGAAGATAGTAGCTTTCCTGCCCAAGCTTATCCAAGCTGAGTAGAGGAAAACTGCTCCTGCAGCAAGGACCACTATAGGAGCTGGGAAGGAAAGGCAGATTTTAAGACCCTGCCTGCTGACTTACTTGCTGCTGCATGAACACTTTTGCAATGGGGCGGGAAGGAGGAGAAGGACTAGTCTAGAAAGACATGCCCTTTTCCCTTCCAGCACTACTGTACAAGAGGGTATGTTTACATGGTAAGCAGAAAACCACAGCACTGAGTCTCAGAACCCTGGTCTACAGATTCGGACTCATGCTACAGCACTAAAAATAGCTGTGCAGACATTTGGGCTTGGGCTTTGAATCCCAACCCCTTCTGTACATTTCAGGGCCAAAGCTACATCTACACAGCAGTGCAATCCTGAGTCTGTTGATCCAGGCTTTGAGACTCACTGCTGTGGGTTTCTGCTTGCTCTGTAGACATAACCTTTCATGCCACTATCCTTCTTGGATTAATATGGTGAATACTCACCCCCAGATTAGGAAACACTAACATAGTATCTCATAAGAGCATGAAGAAACTGGTTCCTCTACTTCACAGTACTTGCATGTAACAGAGGGGTATTTGGTTGTGTTTGACTAAGTTTGCTCAGAGGGAAACTCAACTTAGTCAATTTCAGAAAGTGATTAAACTAGTTTTAGGGAAACTAAATTCCCCCTGCCAGTTTTTTAGGTAAAAGTCACATTTAAATGTCATCTCGTTCTTTCCACAAGAACCACCTTAACTATACTAGTGTTACCACCCCACTATAAACGCACAAAGCACTGTCAGGTGCGCCTAGCAACCCAACTACGGAAAGCTTGTCTTTCAGTTACAAACAACCAACTACTTTAACAATAGTAGGTGAAAAATACAGATAAGATGACAGTGTCCCTTTAACTTAAGGCAGCTTTTCATAAGAGCTGGAGTTACCCAAAGAAACTACAGTGAGATCTCAATCATCCGTCTAAGTGTTTTTAGTTTCCATTTTAAAAACAGGTGAAGTGATAAAGAGCATGTTAGTAAGCAGTAACTCAGACCACCAAGAATAGCAGGCTAGTCTTATTTTTGACAACATGCTTGTTCTATTCGCCAATTAGACCGTAATAAAACTCTGCCATCTTCCGAAGACCCTCCCTGCAGCCACTATTAGCAAAACAAGTTTAACACTGGAAACAATACAAAAACAGGTAATACTACTAAGAGTTTAGACTGCAGTTTCTAAGTTCCTACACAACTTGTATAATGCTATAGCCTCTATGCATTTTCCTCACTTGCACCAGAATCAGAATGAATTTAATTATGATTTCTGAAGCACTTGCAAAAGATATTTCAGAAGTCATGTTTCACTTAGTTTCATTCTAGCTTAGATATAAGTTAGGGGTTTGTTACAGGAGTTGGTGGGTGAGATTCCGTGGCCTGCATTGTGCAGGAGGTCAGATTAGATGATCATAATGGTCCCTTCTGACCTTAAAATCTATGATTAAGTTTCATTTAGCTTGGACCAGATGGGGTTGATAACGGAAGAAAGTTTTGCTGCTCTCATCCCATACCAGTGCATTTAGTACTTACAAAAGGTACCTGATGTGCACACTAGAAGACTGAAGCTCTCTACATAAAGACAGAACAGTCAGCAGATTCCTAAGCTGCATCATTGTGCCTCAAACCTGTTTCCAGACCAGTTTATTTAAGTTAGTGTACCTTGTCTAAGCACAAGCTGCAAGAGTGAAGTGAGTAGTTTAGTCTCCATGCTCATGCACATATCTTGACTCACTGCTGAACAAGTGTATCAGCTAGTGCTACTGATACTCAGACAACTGGAGACAAACTGCCAGATCAGTTCACAGAATATTCTGAAACATGCAGACAGAAATATTTATCATCACTTCACTCCATCATATGAATAAAAATCAACCCTTAGAACCTCACACACCTTTATCACTTATGGAGATTTGTACTGCCTGATTACCAGTTTTCCATTTAGAAAAAAAAAAGGAAATTCTAAATGGCTGCCATTTCTGTGAGGATGAGTATTTTAGAACTAAATGGAGCAAGAACATGCACATAAATTTTAGCATCAAGATACAGACAAGTGCTTTTTGTTAGGAACTAGAAAAGATAATATTAGATAAATCAATTTCCAAACAAAACTATTATACTATGGGGCACCAATACTAATTGAAAATGGGTTTTAAAACGAGACCAGATCTGAACCCACTCCCTACCAACCTCCAATGAAGATCTGGATTAACAGCTCAGGACCTTTTAAGATTTTTATAACAGATTAAGCCCTAAACAGTTTCACACTGTGTCACATATTATGAATGAAGCGATTAAAAAAAAAAAATCAGACAACTAAAGCTTACCTTCACAATCTTTTTTCATATGTTGTACTATTACATATCTTGCAAAGTGGTACATTAGATGAATAAATTTAGGACCACCAGGAGACAGAAATAGTGAAGCTACAACAGGGGGAAAGCTGTTTCCACATTCATCCTAAGGAAATGAAATTGGTTACTATTAATAAATTCTCCCAAGAAGTGATTTTGTCAAAGCAAAAACTACCACACATTTAATTAAATACAAGAACATTGTAATGGGATAAAGGTCTTTAGCTGCTACATAACTTTGAAGCAAACCCAGTCTATGTGTTGTCAAAAGAGTAGACAGTCGTGATATAGTAATTTGAAAGTTTGGATCCCCTCCTCCCCATCTCCAGGATGGGAACAAATTGTTTCAAGACTATGGTCAGGATTAGTTATGGATATCTGTTAGATTTCCTCTGCTGTCCCAACCCCCTAATAGGTAAGTGCTCTATTCCAATTACACTGTGTCCTGGAAAATACTTTTGCCACTTTTTCTTTTCCACGTTAAAGGCAGTCACTGTATTATTTTCCTTTTCTTCAGGTGATTTTGCATAACAGAGTTCACCCAACTTGCCATTAAGGAAAGGGGTTAGGATCTTGTGACATACTGGAAACCCTCTAAGCATAAAGGCAATGATTAGCAGAACCCCATTTAGACAGAAGCTAGCGTAGAGGAAGAACCCAGAATACAGTTAGGGAACCAATTTTGCTTTGGGCCTGTTTATAATTTCTATTCAAGAAGCTTGTTTAAACTTTAGCAGCTTTGCCCTTACCCAGGACAAACGAATATTCTAGAGCTGCAAAGTTTCTTATATCAAATTGCATTCTCAATACCAATGTCTTCTACAGTGGCTGTAATTAATTGAAACATACAATATTTATGTTGAAATAAACTCTTCCCAACTTACCTTTTAAGAAAGCCTGTTCACCTACAGGTTTGTCTGAGGCATGAAATACACAGAAAGCTAAGTGTATGGCTATAGCTTTTTGCATGCATGAAGCCCAAATGTATCAGCTTTGCAGTCTAAGCTTTACCATACCATGCTGTAACTTTCAGTTCAAATAAGTCTAAAAAATTGACCTATGCCATATATTGTACTTGGGAAAGTTAGAGTTATTCTTTGATGGCAGGTACTTTGTTTAATAACCTAAAACGCTACTTATACGTGTGGTACTCTAAACAGACAAGAATTCCCTGCAGTGATCATTTCATTCTTGCCAATACTTACTGAAATTTTTTTTAGCCATTCGCAGCACTGCTTCCTGAATTCAGCATCTCCCTTTTTATCCGCTGGAGGGCAACAAAATCTTTCCATTCCAAAAGAAGAAAAGTCAGTTTCAGTATATTTGTAAATAATCTAATTTACCTATTTAAGTATGTAGCTGAAAAATGCAAAAGTTTGTAGTGATTCCTTTTAGGAGGAAGGTAAGGGAGGAAAGAAGTAACAGTACTCAAACTATGATCAAAGGGTACCTGGAAGTTTGCTAAAATGACTAGCAGTGAAACAGTTCACACGCACAGGTTTTTGCTATTAGGGTTCATAGTTAATACATTATACCCAAAGCTGGTCAGGTTGTCATTTCCTATTATAAGACCCTGTTTCCAACTGCTTATAAATTTGCCCAGCTCCTTGGGCTGAAATTTTCCATGCCAGCTGTCTGCTTTAGATGGAATTTCTTTTTAGAAAGTTTCTGATAAAATTGTTTCACTGTTTGAGAATCAGATCAGGGAAAATCTTTTGCCCATGTTAAAAAAATGCTTGTCATTTCATTGAGAGGCTCTATAGCTTGAACCTGATACTTGAAATTTGGTTAGAGGTGAGGAGATGTGCCTTTTGCCGTCTCTATAAAAGCTTCCTCAAAATCGTCTACATTACGACTACTGCCGTAAAAATTTGACCTAGGTAAGTTGTCTGCCACGCATTAAGAAGCTGTACCCCAAGTGTGAGAAACCTACACAGATGGTAATTTTGTAAGTGATTTTTGTAACACATTCTCCAAACAGGTTACCTCTACCCCAGAGACATCAGTGATTATTCTATTGCGAGTGTGCACAGAACACGGTTATTAATTACACAAAAATTGTGCGTACCGGAAAACCTCTACTGAGCGTGAATGATCCAGTTTAGTAAACAAGAAGCGCGCAACCACATGAAAAGCATCCTTGTTCGGCTTGTCAAACATGTTCCTGATAAATATAAAGTAATTAGTGACAACAACCAAAATAATTGAAATTTAAGCATTCAAACAAACTAATTTAAGGTTTGTATATGAATTTAAGATTACAAAACCCCTCAAATTCTTTGGTCTGCAAATTTGGCAGAACCCTTCCAGATTATTTTAACAATTTTTAATCCAATGAAGGACTCTGCAGCATTCTAGGCTCCTTAATAACATTTAGACAATCCCATCCAGAGAGTTTATTGTCCTAAAAGCAGTTACGTCAGTTCAGTGTCAATACACTACCAAGGTGACTGTTTCCATATAAACTGCATCGAATTGTGTCAAATCCACACAGCAATAGCTGTTGCTATTTTCAGACCTCATTTCTTCTGACAAATATCATGTACACTATTATTTGTAGTGAGAAGCAACCCAATGAAAAGCCCATTTTGTTTACCAGAGATCCAGTGCACAGCACTGTAAAGTCTGACTGCTCCACATGAAAGGCCTTTCTACAAACCCGTGAACAACACCACGCATAACATCACATCTCGCTGGTCGATACCCACAAGAGGGATTGCAGGGACAGCTAGCTCCATGTTGGCAGATGTAGGGTTGGTGGAAGAGATGTGCTGCCACAGCAAGTCAGGGACAGGCTTCTCCAAGAAGAACGGACACACCCCACCCTGCCTTCAAGGTGGGAGCCCCACTCCCTTTTGACCATCTGTCATGGGCAGGGTTTACTGGAGAAGAGCCAGGCCCTGTGCAGGTTACCACACATCCAGGTTTTTCTGGCTATTGCCTCTTTTTGGAGGATCCATCCTCCGTCGGGGCAGATTTTTCAAACAACAGGAAATGTTTGAATTTTTTCAGAGCAGACACTGCAGCTCAGAAAGAACCTCACTTGATCCATGTCCTAGTTGGTCCCGTCCCTGTATCCAAAGCTGCCCACATAGGTCCTGGCTCCCAGCCCTGGGGAAGGGGCCCTGTAGGACGTTGCTGACTTACATGTCCTGGGCTTCCACCAGCCACTCTGCCACTGTGTTAGGGAGCGGCACTGCTCCCCACCTCCAGTGAGTACCCCCGCCACAGATACCCCCTTCAACTCCCCAACCCCACAGCATCTTCTTTTTGGATGAATGAAATATGGTAACCCTACTGTGCAGCGTCTGCACCCCGCAGCACCATAGGAGATGCTCCCAGGTGATCTGGCCAGGGGACACCCGAGTAAGGCATCTCCCGCTCAAGGGATCCCGCCCCCGCGCCAAATCTGCCAGCACTAGCTCGGATGCCCCCTGGCTCGCAGTAGCCTGGGCACCCTGGTTGGGGAGGGGGGGGGGCCGGCTGGCGCTCCCTCTTCCCCCCCGCGCACTCACACTCCCAGGCTGAGGTGGGTGCTGAGCTTCCCGGCGGCGGCGGCGGCTCCCGCTCCCGGCTCGAAGCCCAGCGCCAGCAGGCAGTGCCAGAGATGCTCCTTCTCCCAGACGCTCATGCTGAGGGCCGGGAGCGCTACCGGCCTCGGGGCGGGATCGCGGGCCGGAGGAAGGGTGCGTCTCTACTCCGAGGGTTTCTCTCTCCGGCGGGGCCCTCTCTCGCCGCCGTTCCCGCTCCCTAACGCAGCCGCCATTTCCTTTAACCCGCCAAAGAAAAAACACAGGGCGCGGAGCGTCCCTCGCAGCGGAAGTGACGCCATAAGGGCGCGCCCGCCGCCGACCAATCACAGCCCGGAGAGAACCCCTCCCGCGCAGCTGTAAGAAAGAACGCTCTACCAGGAGGATTCGTAGATGCGGAAATGTAGGTCCCAGCGTGCAACGCGGCACACTCCCTTCCTTCTGGGTAAAGCATGGCCTGCTGGGAGCTGTAGTCTCGGCCTCGTTGCCAGCTGGCAACTGTAGTCTCGATGGCTATGAGCTACTAAGGGAAGCCGCTGTTCTGGCCATGGGAGGCACGGGGCCGGGGTTTCCCCAGGGCAGCCTGGGGAACCCGGGCTTTGCTGGGATGCATCAGGAGCTCTCAGAGAGACTCTTGCAGGGAAAAACAAGGCTCTGGATTTCTAATGTAAAACGCACGCCTGTCCCGGGGATAGAGGGTTTACTACTTGGATAGCCAACCCACCAATAACCATCCAGGACTTCTCTATACGTCATAAACAAACAGAGAACCAGCCCCCCCCCCCCCCCCCACACACATACACACAGCACCTTTAAAGAAGATTACAAACTACAATTTGTAACATTAATGCATATTAAACACACCTCCCTCAGCCAGGCAGATGTTGGGCAACTCCCAAAAGACTGGACTTATTGCCATCTTTTGGAATATTTTAATACAGGCTGGTCTACTCTGAAAACTTACACTGGCGTAGCGACATCTGTGAGGGGTGTGAAAAATCCGCACCCGAGAGACATAGCCATGACAGTCTAACCCCCAGTGTAGGCAGCACTCCATGGCTACACTACATAGCTTACTGTGCCACCCTCTAGCACTGCTAAGGCAGATGCTCTAAGCCGATGGGAGAGAACTCGCCCACTGACTTAATTACTCCAGCCCCAGCCAGCAGCAGTAGCTATGTTGGCAAGAGAAGCTCCCCCACCCACATAACGCTTTCCCCACTGGTGCTGAGGTCAGTGTAACTTATGTCTCTCAGGGAGGTGGCTTATTCACACCCCTAAGCAACAGCACTTGTGTATCAACATAAACTGTAGTTTCTACATAGCCTCAGTCAGGTGGATTAACTACAGTGATGGGAGAACCGCTCCTGTCACTTGTAGTGAGCATCTACACTGAAGAGCTACAAGAGCAGTGCTGCAGCTCTATTGCTGTAGCGTTTTAAGCGTAGACATACCCTGTCAAAATCATTCATGTTACATTGTTGTCATACAACATTATCTACCACTGTGCAAATAAAATCATCACACCAGCACAGGGGTTCTCAGACTTTTGTACTGGTGGACTCACAGCAAGCCTCTGAGTGCAACCCCCTTATACATTAAAACACTTTTTTATATATTTAACACCATTATAAATGCTGGAGGCAAACCGGGATTTGGGGTGGAGGCTGATAGCTCACAACCCCCTACGTAATAACCTCGCAACCCCCTGAGGCAGGGGAGAGCCACATCGGAGTTGTGAAACTGTATGGAGGGCCGGGTAGGGAAGGCTGTGCCTTTCCAAACAGCCTGGGCTCCACCCCCTATCCGCCCCCTCCCACTTACTGCTGCCGACTACTCCCCTCAGAACCTCCGACCCATCCAACCCCCCCCTGCTTCTTGTCCCCTGACTGCCCCGACCCCTGTCCACACCCCTGCCCTGACAGGCCCTCCAAGACTCCCACACCTATCCAACCACTCCCTGTCCCCTAACCGCCCCCCCCCAGAACCTCCGCCCCATCCAACCGCCCCCTGCTCCCTGTCCACTGACTGCCCCCCGAAACTCCCTGCCCCTTATGCAACCCCCCACTCCCTGCCCCCTTACCATGCCACTCAGAGCAGCAGGAGCTTGCAGCCCTGCCGCCTGACTGGAGCCAGCCACACCACTGCGCTGCTCAGCAGGAGTTGCGGGCCAGAGCGCTCGTGGCACAGTGAGGTGAGGCTGCGGGGGAGGGGCCAGGGGCTAGCCTCCCTGGCCAGAAGCTCAGGGGCCGGGCAGGACGGTCCCAAAAGCTGGATGTGGCCCACGGGCTGTAGTTTGCCCACCTCTGCCCTGAAGGGTCCCAATCCCCACTTTGAGAACCCCTGCGATAGCACCTGTTATATTAAAACAAATATAATCAGTACCTATCTAGCTCTGTGAATCTGCATTCAGAATACAGGAGTCAATTTTGTTTGTCCCAGAAATGGATATCTGTGAGCCCCAAAAGTGAGTCTATCCCTTGCCTGCATAGGGTCAGGTGCAACTCAGTGTGTGTGACTATTTGTGAATCAGAAGCCCATCTGGTCCTTTTAAAATGCATTCTTTCCCCTGCTTCAAATCATCAAAATGAGAGCTCTTTAGGTAGGAATTAAGTACAGGAGACAACAAAGAAGAGAAGTCCAACCACACCAACTCTAAGATTTATAGCTCAAACTTTATTTCAAGGCATCTCAGTGACTAGACTTCAAAGCTTTCACAAAAATCAGATAGTACATTATGATAGAGTAGGGGTGTCAACCTCATTCTATAGCGAGAACCTAATCAGGATCCGTGGGCCTGGTCTACAAAATTAGCACCATTTCAAACCCACAAATCCACAATGGCTTCCCAGTGATGACAGTAGGATTTTTGCACAAAGAATAAGAGTAGAACATGATCTATAGATAACAACATAACACTGGGTCTGATCCTGCAGCATTCCACGCATACTCCAAAACTCCCACTGAAGTCAATGGTGCATGCAAGAAGTGCAGTATCAGGCTATTAAGTTATTAAAGTTAATTGCTCTATTTGGTTACTCCGCGCAAAAAAAAAAAAAATGGTGTGGGTCTAAGTTACTATTACCACAGTTTCTCCTTTGGTTCAGTTTCTCCTCTTTCTGTTTGTCTTTTGCCCATAATTATTTGTATGTCTCCTCCATACTTCTTTGTTTTCTCCTTTTCTCTTTCCTTTTTCTCCCTTTGTGTTCTCTGCCTTCTTATTTGCATTTTTCTGCACTTGGCCCCATATTTGGGCTCTTCTAACCCCAACTCCCATTCTTAGTCTCCCCCCAGCAGCAGAAATACTTACACATGGAAGGGAGGCAGTGGGAAATGAAGTTCTTTCATTATAAACACTTCTTACAAAGGACACTGTTTCAAGCTCTTTAGACACAGAGTCTCACCAAAACTGACTAGGATCCCATGATCAAGCCTGTAGTCCTTTCCAGCAGCAAAGAGGTAGATGCAGAAGTGCTTTACACATAGAGTAAAAAGGGAAACTTTTATCAGCAAATCCTAGTCAGTTTCCTTTTTGCTGACAGCCCTTTGTGCAGTGCTGGAGTGCTGTTTTGGCTGTTGCTGACAGCAAACCAAATAGCAGTGCAGTTTTAAATGGATGTGTACACCAGTCAGTACAATTGGGCCATAGGAGGCCTGAAGGATGGAATTTTGACACCAATGTTATAGCGTTACATTAAATGCAGTCCTTAAAAAAAAAAAAAAAGAGATGCAAATCAGAATTTCAATGCAACTAAGTGAAACAAAATTGATCCAAAAACTGTATGCTTCAAGAGCTAGATAGATTTCTTTTTAAAAAGCAGAAATATAAGTTAACATGGCAAAAAAAAAACAACATCAAATCAAGAGAACAGTTTTGTGCCTGATATTTATTCAGCTCTTGGTTCCATGGTGATAGGGCCATTTGTGCGTGAAAAATCTTGCTGGTCTTCCTCATCCAAACCCAAAATGTCTGGAATATCATCAGATTCTGAAGACAAGTCTGTGATAGTGAAATCTGGCACCTGCAGAAGAAGAAATCCAAATAAATGTGAAGGTTAAAAAAAAAAAAAAAAGAGCTGAACACTCAGGACTCCAACTGAAGTCAACCAGGGCTGCAGGTGTTCAGTACCTCAAAAATCAGGCCCTAGAGTGACAGAAACATCTTAAGCAATATAAATTAGTGTATTAATAGATACATTCTTATAAGAAAGGTGGAACAGAACTGCCCTCAACACAGAACATTTCATAAATATTTTGGGGTGGTCTGTTAAGAAGGTTTTCTAATAAGATTGGTCTCTTGCAAAGACTTAGTGTATATTATATCTCACATCAATTTAGAGGTGTTATATATCTTTGCTATATCATCTTTATCTTCAGTCCACTTCAAAACTTCAGAGGGGAATGAGGGACTGAGAAAAAATTAATGGAGAGCCTGGTTATTCACAGAACAGATACAGCACAGGTGATATCAACATAAGCTCTTCTACGCTGCACTCAATTGAGGCAGTAGCCTCAATCTTGTTCTGAAGAAATCATATGGGGAAGTGATGCAATGAGCTGTAGCTCACGAAAGCTTATGCTCAAATAAATTTGTTAGTCTCTAAAAGGTGCCACAAGTACTCCTTTTCTTTTTGCAAATACAGACTAACAGGGCTGCTACTCTGAAACCTGTCATTAATCCCACTGACTCCAAATGGCAGCAAGAATGAGGCTCCGTCCCCCTAGTGGCAGAAATTGCTCTGCACCCTGCTGCATAAAACATCCACATAGTAAGAAAGACTCCACCTAGTAACACACTTAAAATAACTCAGTATACTTTTCAGAGCAACAGCTGTGTTAGTCTGTATTCGCAAAAAGAAAAGGAGTACTTGTGGCACCTTAGAGACTAACCAATTTATTTGAGCATGAGCTTTCGTGAGCTACAGCTCACTTCATCGGATGCAGTGAGCTGTAGCTCACGAAAGCTCATGCTCAAATAAATTGGTTAGTCTCTAAGGTGCCACAAGTCCTCCTTTTCTTTCAGTATACTTTCAGGATCTGTACATAGCATTCCTTGCCACACTAGTAACAAACTAGGAAGTCTAAAACAATGTAACCAAGATATCAAGAGCCAAATTTGGAGGTGAATGGTAAATTAGGCTATGTCTACACTGTACTTTTGTCAGTAAATTTTTTGTCGGTCAGGGGTTTGAAAAAACCACACCCCCACTGACAAAGGTTTTCCTGATGAAAAGCGCCAGCGTGGACAGCACTTTGTCTGTGGGAGACGCTCTCT